TCACTTTTCTCCACAGAGGGTGCTGCTCATAACGATGCAATCCTCCAACAACAGTGCGCCAAGGCCTGTTATGTCCTGGCTACCACAGCGGGGAGGGGACAGAGATGAGTCACATAGGATTCTTGAGCTCAGAGACATTCAGTTTTGGGGGGACAAAATGATAACTTTGAGCTGCCTGCCTTTATACAGAAGAATAACTGCCACAAGAGGGATATTCATAAAGTGCCTTGACAGTTCAGAGGAAGAAGTGGTTTCTTTCGTCTGGGCAAATAAGGAAGGCTTAGTGGAAGAAGAGAATTGAGCCTTAAAAGGCAGGTAGGACTTACACTTACGGGAAAAAAGTTCCCTTCTACTAAAAGAGTTTTCATAAAAATTTACCAAACATGGGTAGCATTTTTTTCTCACCTGCCAACCTGTCTTTTCCCTTTTCACATGACCTTAATAATGGAGTGAAGGGTAGAGCGGGGGTTGTGATTAGGGTAGAACACAAGAGTATAACCTCCTCTTATGACTCTGCCACTACGTTTGCGGGGGGCTCTATACCCAACACTAGTGGTCAGAAGTTACTCCAAAAAGAGTTGCCTCCCGCATTTGACTTTTGAAGAGCTGGTTTCTGTGTGCCTCTCCCACACGGCTGATACTGTGCTGTCTGCTTCGTGTTACCTGGTTCCATCTGCCAGGCAGCAGCTGCTGAAGTGTCCTGTTGTCGTTCATCCTCGTATGTCTGACTCGTAGAACTCTGTTTTAGTAGAATCAGAGCACCTCTGGTGGACGGGCTGCACTCTCATCAGTAGCCATCCTGTCCTGCCACATAATGGCAACATTAGGAAATATCCTAAAATGAGAGAATAGAAGTGTTGCAGGAAAGGCATTATTATTCTGTAGTACCAAAGCCACTCCTCTGCATTCTGGCAACATAATTTTTCAGTCCCATCACGTTGATCTGTGTGCCCCACACAGATATCTGTCATTCCCTCCCCTTTCTTTTCAGACCGAGCTAATAGATCTGTCTACGGTAGATGTGATCCTCATCTCTAACTATCACTGCATGATGGCTCTGCCCTACATCACTGAGCACACGGGGTTCACAGGCACGGTCTATGCCACAGAGCCCTCCGTTCAGATCGGCAGGTGAGAGCATTTCTTCTTGTGCCATTAGAGAGTGGCTGGCGAGCTCCTCCCTTCAGTGGTGACTGTTAATAGAGTGTTGTGCGAGGAGGGATTGTTATTTCCCTCTGAGCAGCTGACCCAGAGAACAGGCACGAATAGACAACTCTCCAGATAAAACAAATGTTCTTTGGAGTTGCCTAGAGACTGATGCTGCGAGTAATGGTTGTTAGTCTTTTTAAGAAAAACGGGAACATGGAGTTTGCAGAGACAGCTCCTCTGTGCAGATGATACTAATTAGGGGAAGTATCATTCAGTAGGATGCCACCAGGATGCAGTGCAGAGAGCTTCGGGAGAGAAAGGAACACAGCACATTTAAGAAAAGAGGAAGAAATTTTACTACTTTGCTTTCAAAATTTCCCCCCTTTTATGGTTTAGTGCAGACTAGAAATGGGGACGGCTTGTAGAAAACAGGGTAATTAGATGGTTACGTTGTCTGTACTGTTGACATAGTGAAACTTGGGACTGTATGGAATAAAAACCTCAGAGCCTTTCTTTGACTCTGAGAATGCTGTGCTGTCTCTTCCCCTGCCCCTCCCAAGCCTCCATGGGACAGATGGTTGCTTCAAGTAACCATAGAATCATTTAGTGAGAAAAAAATTACCCCAGAAGAAAAGAATTGTGTTGAAGCAAACAAAGAAGTGTGGTGTAAGGTAATACTATCAAGACCCGAAATACAGGATCTAAGTGCTTTGGGTTCTAGAATCTGACTGAAGTCCAATACGATGGAATTACCAGAAATGAAACAAAATGTGTCCTTGTTTTTGTGTCAAACCATATTAACCTGCAGTGTGTACAAGAAAACATAAAGGATCTGAGGAAGAGACATTGTAGGAAAGTAAAGCACTCAAGGTGATGTAACAGTTTTGGTGAGAGGACAAGCTGAAAACATTAGATTCTAGTCTGAGAAAGTTAAAGCCTGAGGATGGACATACCAGTCTGTTCTCCAGAAAACTACAGCCAGAACAATAATGAGCCTGGATCCCGGATCTTAGAATGCTGGAACTGGTACTGCTCCTTCAAGATGAAAGACAATTAAAAAAGAAAAAGCAGATGAAAGACGATGATAGTGTTAGGAATAAGTAAATAAGTGGAAATGAAGTTGTTCGGCATTCAAATGCTAATAAATTTATGGCTTGCCATGTCTGTGTGTTTATTGGGAGAGGATTTAAGTCAATGTGGAACATCTATACTGGATTATGTAGGGGATTCAAGGTGTTGAAAGTCTATTTCTAGGTTTTTGTTCGTCCCCTAGCCATCCAGGGCCCCATCAGTGCTCTGTTCCCATGTATTCCTCAGAGCATGGGATCATTGATCCAGTTGAGTGAGGCATCTCTTAGATTCCCTCAGTTGTGATTCTGTGGTGATCCAACTTGTGATCTGCAGAGCCTGTCCTCTGGCAGGTCCTTGAGTAGAGTTTTAGGATTAGGCCTTAGAGTATTCTTCCATGTTTTACATGTCCATTTAATATTGTCATTAAAAAAAATCCTACCCCCACCTCTGCTGCCACCAAAATCAGGTACTTCATGCTCATTTAACTATTTCTCCTTTTGTATTTTTAATTACCTAAATAAATAAAGGCAGAGGTCTTAAGAGTGTGAGTTAAACCATAGCCTTATATATTTCAGTGTTTAGAGACAAGAAGCACACCAGGCTTATGAATTAAATCATTTACATTCAGAATTTTTAACATGAAAATTCAACGCAAAGGCTAGGTTTTTGTTCAACTTTATGTAAAATGGTGCCCACGTTTATGTGCAGCAGAGAGAGGAAAGACGACTGGGCAGGGCGGTTAGGCAAGCCCGCTTCTCTTGGCTACAGTGTTAAGAGTGCCATGTTTTTCTGATTCCTTTTTGAGTGTTCCTCACTTTCTTTGTTTAAACTCAGGCTTCTCATGGAAGAGTTGGTGAACTTCATTGAACGCGTGCCCAAGGCTCAGTCTGCCTCCTTGTGGAAGAACAAGGATATTCAGCGGTAAGCAGCAGGCCGTCTACCCCCCATGGTACTAGAGCTGGGGGCTTTGCAGAACAGTCTCAAATGTTACCGTATTTTCTGCTCAAACGTTTATACTGTTAGAATTAAGATTCCCCTTTCCCTGTGTTATGGAAGGGTTGTGTTTGATTCAGCCGTCGTATTTGAGAGGCAACCATACCATACGCAAGGTAGTATGCTAGGTCCGGGAGTTTTTAAAAATAAGTAAAACAGTTGGCTGTCTCTATGAGGTGCTGAGGGGTTAATGGGAAATCGGACAATTAAAACAGCTAAATTACAGTCTTGGGTGGCATGTATTATAAGAGATGCTTGGTCACAATGCTGTAGGCACTCAGAAAATGAAGAACTTTCTCTGCTTAGGAAACTGAGGAGGACATTCCTTAGGAGATGACAATTAAGGTGGGTCTCAGAGGAAGGAAAGGACTTTTCCTGATAGAAAGGGTCGTAAAGTGGGGTCCAGGCACAGCACCGTAGGATATAGTATATTAGGGAACAGTGAGACATTCAGGGTGGGTTAGAATTAGCTGAGTAAAGAGGTGAAAGGCAAAACCAGACAGGGACATTGGAGCAAGATAATGAAGCATCTGCTGTGTCAAGATGGAACTTTTTATTATTGAGAGCGGGAAGCCCATCAGGGGAGGTTGACAAGGTGGTGAATGACGTGATCGCATATTTTTTTAGGGGAAGTAACCCTGGAAGCATAAGAGAGGATGGATGGGGGTGCAGAGATGGGGGCGGGAAGCCCAGCGGCAGAGCTGATTCAGAAACCCAGGCGAGAGAACAAAGGCCTGGGCTAAGGCTGTAGATGATGAGGTGAAGTAAGTAGAAATGCAGTAGAGGAGGCAGGAGGCAGCTTGATTCTACTTCCACTCTCATATCTGATCGGCAGCAGAGGACACGAGTCAGCCCTAACATACTGCAGTTGGTCCAGCCCTGCCAACTGCTGCCCTCACCTCCCGGCACCGCAGCCCCAGCCATCCAGGCCTGGCGTCCAGAGTCTGGAGTAAAAGCCCATCTGTGACTTCTTAGGTAACGTGTGTTCCTCACACTCCTACCCAAGTCCACTCTTCTCCAGCTACCTCGCCACTGGGTTCTCTCTCCCTCTAGGTCCGTGATTTGTTTGCCATCTACTCAACTAAACTTTAGAATGTCTTGGGTTTTGTGACATTCTTTCTACAAGGATATGAATATGTAGCTAGGAGAATATGCTGTGGTTTTTACACTGTAACTGTCTCAGAGTTTGAGCACGTGAGTCTCCTGCTTTATGCATTCCTTTTTGTACGTTATTTATTTTATTTAACTTATGTAGCACTTGTTATGTGCCAGACACTCTTCTCAGTGCTTTATTTAATTCACTTAGTTCTTTAACATTATCATTTTACAGAGGAGAAAACAGGCACAGAGAGGTTAAGTAAGTTATTCAAGGTCAGCCAACTAGTGGGCAGTAGGATTTGGATTCAAACCCAGGCAGCCGGGCTAGTCTGGTTCCAGAGTCCATGCCCTTAATGCTTGTGCTGGGCTACTTCTCAGCCACATACAGGCTTCTCACGGGCATGTGAGCCCCCTCTCATGTGCGGGGAGAAGTAACATAACTGTGTACATTTTCTCCTGTGTTTTATGGATCTTCTTGTTTCTCTGTTTCCTTGACTGGGGATATGGTGTCTGTCTGGCTTCTCATTAGGAAACGCCTTCTGGACACGCACTTGTCTGAGTCTTCTCTGTACACATGGATGGCTTCCTTGATCTATCTGCCCACCCACTCGGTACAGGTCCCCTCCCGTCCTCGTTGTACGTGCTTATTCTCAGCTCCCTTCCTCCTGCTCACTGCGTGCCTCCTTCCCCTTTTCTCCCTCTCCCACATGCCCACTGGCCCACATTCAACTCACTTCTCTCCATCTCCCTCCTTAGAAACCTGAGGACTTTGTTTTCTTTCTCTATGGAACACGTACACCTTGGCTTCCCTCACTTCCTCCTTTTAAATTTATACCCTTAAATATTCTGCCACAAATAATTTTGGCACACCAGAAATGATGTTCAAAGGTCACTGTTTCCTGAATCCCAAACCCTGGGCTAAGTCTTAAGGAAGTCCAAGTCCTTATTTTGCCTTTTTTTTCTGTGACCTTGGGCAGAGTCCTTGGCAGTTTTCTTTGCTTCCCATTCTTTGTAAAATACAAGATAACTGGCTCACCAAAAAAAGGGCCATCATATATTAGGGAAAAAGGTGAGTTGAACTTGAAGGAGCAGAGGACTAGGGAGGGGACCAGAAAGTTATTTCCTAAGGTGCTTAGGAAATCGCCCTTTTTAACAAAGGTGCTAGTTGAAAATAAAACCTTGAATTTGGGGCTTCCCGGGTGGCACGGTGGTTGAGAGTCCGCCTGCCGACGCAGGGGACGTGGGTTCGTGCCCCGGTCCGGGAAGATCCCACATGCTGCGGAGCAGCTGGGCCCATGTCGTGGCCGCTGAGCCTGCGCGTCTGGAGCCTGTGCTCTGCAACGGGAGAGACCACAACAGTGAGAGGCCCGCGCACCGCAAAAAAAAAAAAAAAAAAAAAAAAAACCTTGAATTTGCTGTCTCGCCACCAGGTGGGCAAAAATCAGAAGCTGTTGAGGAGCTAACTTGGTAGAGGAGCAAGAAGTTGGGCCAGTCGGAGACTGTATTTCATTACTTCATGCATCCTGACCACAGTTCTGATCCTGGTCAAGCATTTTGTTTTGGCTCTTGAGTGTGAGATGAGCCATAGTTACTGACAGACAAAGAGAAGAGTCTAATTATTGGAAAGATTGTGCTGAGGTGTTAGACAAACCAAGAAAGCTGTGTCCTGTTTTTCTCTTGGAGAAACTCAGCATAAATATTAGAAGTGGTAGAAAAATTTGAGGAGCTATTTTTTAATTGACATCAGATAAGAGAATTCTTTTGAAATATTCACCTAGAATTTAATCTTGGGCCAGAATACTAAAAGTGCTGCATTTGAACATTTATGCTGAAGGATTTACACCACTTTAAAAGTTCCCTCCGTCATGAGCTAGTTGATATCAAGTGTCCCAAGATACTGTGACATACTGTATTGAGAAGCACTGGGGTTTTTTGTTTTTGTTTGTTTGTTTGTTTTTGCTGTCTAGTACAGTGACTAAGTGATGTGGGCTTTGTCTTCTATTTTTTTTTTTTTTAATTCCTGCATTCTCCTTGTCCAGTTCCTATAAAATAGGGGTCACAAACTCAGATGCCTCCAGGGATGAGGAAGGGGTTTATAGGTAAGTACAGGAGTGAGGTGGGCTGCCAGGAATTGTGGACCAGTGACCACACCTCTCTAAAGGGGCAGCTGACACACAGCTTCAGCAGACTTTTGTCCGTATGGGAAAGTGAGTGCATCACTGCCAAATCATCCCTTTTCTTTTTTAAAGAAGCTCAAGATCTGGATGTTTTAAATGTGATTTTTTTTTCATCTTTAAAAAATGTTGGCTCTCACATTAAAGTAAAATTCTGTATGATCCAAGCAAAACACCTCCATGAGTTGGATTCGAGCCCCCAGGTTTTGACTTATACTTAAACCTTTACAGGCAGTCTCTTGGTTAAATGTCAAGAATTAATGCATCTTAGTAGCTTAAGAATAAGACCAACTAAAAAAAAACGAATTAAAATCTTTCAGATTCATTGGTTTCTGACAAATTCCTTTAAATCACAGGAAGTTAGTTTGAATTAGCATTTGATTTAGTATTAGTATGTTTACCAAAAAAAAAAAAAATTACTCTTGCTTTTTGGCAGCTGCCTGACTCCCTGCCTCAGTCGACACTGCTCCCTGAGATTTATTTAGAAGTTAGCCATCCTTCTTTCTCATTTTGACATTGTAGCTTATACTTCTTGAAAAAGAGATTTTTGAAGGGTAGGAAAAGGAGAATCCCTTACAGTGTAATTTTCGAGCCTCTGACATTCCCATACACACTTCAAAATTTAGGTTTTTAATGGGAAAATTTAAAGCACAATATTCCACTGAAGAAACTTACCCAGTCTCTAGTATTTTTAATATAAGGGCAGCATTTTTTGTATAAGACTAGAAATTTACAATTATAATTAAGAATAAATCATTACAGGGTATTGTCATAATCCTCTGACAAGCATTAAGGAGTTATGCATTAATATATTCCTGGCTGAAGTGTTATGGCAGTTTTCAGTACTCAGAGCTTAAAATGTGGGTTTATATCTTTTAGAAGACATAAAATTTTTTTAAAAAGCATATTGTACTTGAAGTTCCTCTGCTCTGACACTCCTTGGGTATTTATAGAGGAATTTATCAGGTCTAACTATGTAGTAGGAAGAAAATTAAAGCTATGGGCTTGGAGGTCAAATAGACTGGTGTTTGAGTTCCTTCCAGATCTGCTTCTTAGCTGCAGAAGTTTATTTCTTCTAGACTCTGTTTCCTCGTTTATAAAATAGGAATAATATTAGCAACTTCACAAGGTTGTTGTGAGGACTAAATGAGTAATACAAGTAAAGTCCTTAAAACAGTGCCAGGCACACAGTAGGTGCTCAGTAAACAGCAACAGCCTTTCTCCCTTTAATGATACGCTTGGTTCACATAACCCTCTTTCAGTAACCAGCACACGTCTGCCTTCCACAGCCTTATTTATCTTTCAGTGCTACCTTTCCTGATGAGAGCAAAGTAGTATAGTAGAAGGAAGATTGTTTTCCTAATCCCACTGTTGCCTCTAGTTAGCAGTGTCATTCAGATTCTGGGACTCAGTCTTCTTTTCTGTAAAATAGGAGAATTGAATTAAACTATCTCTTCGCTTATGTTATAGTTTTTAAAGATGCCCTTAAGCAGGTGCTCAGAGAGTGGCAGTACTTTGATGGAGTCGTCACAACTTTGTAGTTCTTCACCTTTGCAGTTCCAGAAACTTAATCATTTCATTTCACTCAGAGTTGATTAGCCTCTGAAGACTGGTTTGGGCTAACTAAACTCCCAGGATACTGACTGAGAAACAAAA